TTTTCCTCCATAAGCCATGTGTGTTGTCAGAGGCAACTAAAATGCCGGGAGCAAGGGGCTAGTAACCCCGTCTCCTGTATACATTACTAAAGTTAAAAAAGAGAAACTTTTCTTTTTCTTTTTGGGGCACCCTGCCTCGGTGGGATACAGCCAGTTTGTTGAAAGAAGAAGAATAGCAATCTGTGTCCAAGATTTTTATTACAATAGCTATGCCTCCTCCTCTACATGGAATGTGCTTGCAAGTTGCACAAGAGACTGTCTTTCAGTATTGAAACATTCTTTCAACCTGAATTACCCGTGAAGAAAAGATAAAGATGTTGCAGAACAAACTTGAATTGAGACAATGTTTTGCCAAGTATAGAATTTCATTAAGTCACGACTTAATAAAGCTCTTCATAGAACAAACCATTACACCAATAACAGCGTGTTTTGAAACCCAAATCATTTCTTCAGTACTGTCTGAAGTATGCCATTTGGGTCCAACCTGAATTACCTAAATAGCTACAAGTAGACGAGTAAGACATGCACAAAACCTTATTCATGAATTTGCTAGTATTATATATAATTAAGATTAATGTAATGAACATCACTAGACTGTAAATTTGATACCATATACAAGGGCAGACATATGATATATTAGCTATTTTTTATGGGAATATACTAGGTTCAGTCTTCATAACATGTCACTTCTGTATATCTAACTGCACGCAACATGAATTATCAGAGAAAACTATTAATTATGATACTGTATTTATATGCGCTATATACAGTGGACCCCCACCTTACGATATAATTTCATTCCAGAAGTATGTTCAGGTGCCGTTACCGAACGAATTTGTTCCCATAAGGAATACAGTGAATTAGATTAGTCCGTTTCAGACCCCCAAAAATACACATACAAAAGCACTTATATAAATACACTTACATAATTGGTCGCATTGGAAGCTGATCGTAAGGCGGGGGTCCACTGTATTATGAATGATGTCTAAATGAGATACACACCATAAAAAAAAGAGAAAATTAATCTTTTTGTACATTAATAAATCCAAGGATATTTGTCTGGCATCCAGGAGCCCAATCAAACAGATATTGAACTGGGTTACCAGGTGCAAGTTTATTCAGATACAGGTACACATATAGTTACATAAATTGTCATATATAACAGCATATGTGTAAGTTACCCAGGATAACCCAAAACACTCAAAGTGACTTATATCCATTGGGGTCCTAGTAATATCTTATTTAAACCTAGTGTGCCACACTAGTTTATTCTCAAATTGCTTATCTGTTTATATTTACGTTTTTATAAGTTTATGGAACAAAACCAAACTTACAACTGGTTGCTAATTATGTAAATAGGCTTAAAAAAAACTCATTACCTGGTTGCCGGAAAAATCGAAACTCCCAATTTATAATAATTAAATATAGGATGTAAATGCGAATACAAATTACATGTACTGTAAGTTTATTCAGGTATATTGTAATATTCTTGCACGATGTTGACCTAAAGAAATAAAAGTATTTGAGCTCACACTAGTGAGAAAGAATGAATGATATGAGATTACTAGAGTAGGCCTATAGTTAGCATCTTAAGTTTTGTTACAAGTGTATAAATGACCAGAAACAGGTGGTAATAATCACGTAAATATGTTAATGCTCTTAACGCAAGTCAGACTAAATTTATGCAAATTGATCTTAAATAATTCGTCACTAAGATATTTTTAATGTTTTCTTTCCAACAAATAAAAATAGCTTCGATACCTTTGAATATTTCTTGAAGTTTAATATTTCCACCCAGATAATTACTAAAACACTGTTCTTTTTTTCTTGTTTTATGTTAAATTAAGCTATTAACAAAACTTTGTCTGGTAACAATATTCAACAGGACAGCCACAGGCACACACCTCACTATATATAACACCAGTTGTTTAATGAAAAGTTATGTAGCCCATATACTATACCATGAAGCTGGCTACCCACCTGGGACATTGTTAGCAGCAGAAACAGCAGATAACAGCAGCAGCAGCAGCAGGAACAACAGCAGCAGCAACAGCAGCAGCAGCAACTGACACTTGGTTTCTCAACCATAACAAACATCAGCTGTACTTCTGTTTTTTTCCTACAACACACTGCAAGTCTCCATATTTGTCCCATTATATGCAAAATTTCAATCATAGTCATCTATATATTAATACAAATGTGTTATTCAATGATTAATCGAAATTGTTTTTAAAATTTTATTAGGATTTTTGACAGATAAAAAGTGTATTATAATAGAATAAATGCTTGATGTAACTCTTCTTGGGAAAAAAAGTCGAGTTACGTCATCGGTTAATAAAATAATATAATGTTAAACCTTTTTATTTAATATATTCACAACTTAAGTATATCATGGTTTTTATATATTCTGAAAAAGAAACAGGAGAATAACTAATGAACCAAGCTTTCAGCTCATACTTCAGTGTCCTCTTTCAGATATGTACGAAAGCACTAAACCCACATGGGTCATACAGCGCTGCAGTACCATGTAGTTAGCGCAGATTTACAAAATTGTCTTTTTATTCATTACAAAATAAACTTTAACTCTTATATTGGTCAGGAAATGTAATTACTGACAACACTTAAAAGCAGATTTCTTAAAAAAAAAAAATATACTTTTGTGTTTATGATCGAGTCTGAATGCCTTCCATCCCCCCATAGGCACTATAATCCCTACGGGTGATTAGTAAAAAAGAGTGTGTTTATGATGACTCAGGTGTAATTACAGAACAAAAACAGAGTATATTTACCTAGCAAATATATCTTGCAGGATGTATTTTATGTACAAAACATCCATACTTATTACTGCACCTATTACATACATAGAACACTTAACTCTGATATTAACCCTCCCCTCAAACATCTCCTTGCCAACCTCAACAGAACACATGACCATAACACAAGGCACAGATCACTCTTTGATGTTCCTCGTGTCCATCTCACACTATGCGAAAACTCAATGCACATAAAAGGCCCTAAAATCTGGAATTCATTACCTGTAAATATAAAAGAAACACAACCTGTTTATAAATTCAAGTCTCTACTCAAAGATCACTTACTCACCCAAAACCAAATAAATACTGAATAACTGAACCTTATAAATTGTATATCTTAAATGTTTCTCACAATTATATCACATAAATGTTAAACCTAAAACCGAATCTAACTTTATTATTTTTTAAATACACTACCTAACAGAATCCTTCATATGACTGAATGTACAACAATGCATACAACCATATGACCTGTCTTTGTAATACTCACTTGTGCTTTATAGTAATCTGTTTACATTAATGTTTTATCACTGATTTCATCATTGCTTAGTTAATCTTAAGTTAATTTTAAGCCAGCCCGTAATGCTATGCATAGTATAAGTGGCTTTGGCATGCTGCTCTTATCTGTATTTTTTTGTACCTCTGTATGTGTGCTCAAATTGATAATAAATAAATAAATAAATAAAAATGTCAGTGTCAGGTGTGTATCAGCCAGGAGACACACACATGGTCACCTCATGGGAAGATTCAGTGCCTCTGCCAGAAATGTCCTCTTTTCAGGAACAAAATTATTATTATTATAATCAAAAAGAAGCGCTAAACCACAAGGGCTATACAGCGTCAGGAACAAAAGAATGAACACTATTGGCCTAAACTAGGCAGGTCTAACTCACACCCACTCATATATTCATCCAACCAGTATCTAAAGTTTTCCAGAATTATCATACCAATGACATTACCTGGGAGTTTGTTTCACTAATCTGCAACTCTATTGCCAAACTGGTACCTCAATATGTACTTTCTCAAATTAAATTTGTTTATCTAATGGATTAAAGAACATCTGGACTTTATTTCCAACCTTTCCCTCAATGCCTGATACTCTCACCTCTTAATTACCATCCTCTCAGAAAGTTTCACCTTCAGAATTGACTAAGATAAGATTGTATCCGGATTTTTAACCCTGGAGGGTTAGCCACCCAGGATAACCCAAGAAAGGCAGTGCATCACCAAGGAACCTGGAGTTTACCTGGAGAGAGTTCCGGGGGTCAACGCCCCCGCGGCCCGGTCTGTGACCAGGCCTCCTGGTGGATCAGAGCCTGATCAACCAGGCTGTTGCTGCTGGCTGCACGCAAACCAACGTACGAGCCACAGCCCGGCTGGTCAGGAACCGACTTTAGGTGCTTGTCCAGTGCCAGCTTGAAGACTGCCAGGGGTCTGTTGGTAATCTTATTTCCCCAGGATGTGACCCACACCCGTCGACTAACACCCAGGTACCTACTCGCTAGCTAGGTGAACAGGAATTGAACCACAGACCCTCTATGAAGCAAGAGCATTGCCTACCAGGCCACGAGCCATGACTTATTACATTCATGGGGGAGCACTAAACTCACGGGTTATTCAGCACTTGGGGGATTAGGGCATATTCAAGATTGATCCAAGGAAAGAAGGGCTAATCCATTCACTTGGATCAGAGCCTCTCATCAGCATTAAGGAACCACCATTGATGGGACAGGACTTATTAACTGAACTGACTTATTGCACAGATGTTGACTTCTATATACAGCACATGAGCTCACCCTTCAAACTTTGTCAGTGATCTATATCACTTAAGGACTTCCTTGTGATAACAATATTTAAGTTTAACAAGAGGCCCTGGATGATTGGGTACCTCTTTAATTATTATTATTACTAGTATTATAATTATTATTATAGTACTAGTATTATATTCACATGGAAAGGGCTTAAATGTAAGGGTCAAGCAATGCCTTGTTGTTAGTGGCCTGAGAAAGGCCACTGGTGAGACAGTCAAGTATTACAGCTAAAATGTCTGGCTGAAATTGAAGAGAAATTTAATATGTTAAAGAATATTTTTCAACATATTGGTCATTTCTCACTGAGGTTGGGTGATCCCCCCCAAAAAAAGAGGAAATGGCAAGCTTTGGTAAACAAGATTTAAAAAAACTATGATTCTTTTAACTGGAAACATAAAATTTTATTCACGTATCTTCTACACAATAGACAATTTATGAATATATGTACTTAACACTACAGTATTAACTGAAAGGAAAACTTGGTAAATACATTTAAACCTTTGGCACATTCTGAAGTTTTCCTCAACATTTTATTCTAAAAATACAATATACATAAGTAGCAAATAATGTAAATCAGTGAAAGTTAAATATTGTATCTGAATATTTACAGCCCTCAAAAAAACTGTAAACAATAATGAAGTTTTTTCACAGTACAATGATGACCTAACAGAAAATATCAACTTGTAGTAACATACAGGACACTGCTAGTCACTGGTGCTCATTGCAACCTGTCCTCCTAACACAAACCCTGATTTTTCACATTGCTGCATATATATAATGCAGTTTCTCTACATATGTTATTTAGGTTAAAATAGGTTAAAGTCAATTCACCAAATTTCACCAACTGCAACATACAATAAAACCAATAAATGCAATTTATAAAAAGCAAGACTATGTTTTCCAGCACAAACAAAGTCCACTAGTTCACAGTCTCTAGTGTCACAGTTGCTTTGCCAATGATCTCGAACCAAATTAAAAAAACAGCATTTGCTTATGAGGATAAGCTGGCATAGTGACAACAGTGATGTAAGTCACTCTCAGATCACCTATGCTTCTATGACCTTACATGGGCACTCGTTCCTACTGTATAACCTTCATATTTGGCACTTTATATATTACTATAATACTGAGTATACAGACATTTCCTAGGCAACAGAAGTTTTATTTAGAATATTCCAACACAGTGAAGCATATTCATTTTACATAAAGTGTGAAGATGAAAAACACTTAATTTGGAAAAAAAAAAAGGTAGAAATAAGCTTAAATGGAAGAAAATTTGTGCTTCCTGCTATGTTATTATATAAACATATAATAACAAGAAACATGAACAAATAACAAAAACATATATAATAATAAAGATAAGAACTAATACAGTTGCTTATGAAGTAATAAAAGATGGTTGTAAGAGATGACAATAATATAGTGCATCACCATAAAAGTGAAAAAATATCAAAATGGAATCACCATATTTTGAAAGGGACTATAGAGCAATATTTAATTTAAATCTTGAATCAGTTTGAAAGTTGAGAAAAATAGTCACCAGTCTTTGTACTAGCATTGGCCCCAAAAAACACTCATGAAATACTCGGTACTCTTACTCCCCAAATATTGGTCAGAATGATACATGTCATGACTTTCTAGAATAATGTTTTGTGCATTTAGTGCCAACTGGTGGTAGGCACTTGCATAAATTCTTAACTAACTCATACTATGCAAACAGAAAACAACTAACCCAGTTTCATATACAGTACACTGAACCTCTGATACATATGCACCACCTCCAATTATTTTATCTAAAGATAATACTTTGTTTTTTTAACCTCAATGACCATCTCCCACCAGGGCAGGGTGATTCAAAGAAAACACATTCATCATCATTCATTCAATCGATGTCTTGCTAGGAGTGTGCTGACACGACACTTCAAATTACCTTCCAACTACAACATCCCCACTCCTCCTTCAGTCCACGCACTGCCCTTCCCACCTTCAGGATAAATATTACATGACAGACGACAGCACAAGCAAAGTGCACGGCTCTAAATCTTCCAATCTTTTCTCTTACAATGTAAAAGAAAATAGCCCTCTCCTGTGACACTGTGATCTTGAACCAGCTCAACGTATGGGTATAATCCAGTGTTAGTGTATAACCACACCCCTTACACAGCACCCTGAGTATAGATAAAATAAAGATGTTTTATGTTTTATTACTTTCAAATTGCTGGTGATGCACTGTACAATGATTTTTCTCTTATTCTAACCAATTTGTGCTCACAGGCAGTAGACTTATAGAAAATTAAGTGAAATCTAAAATTTTTACCATTCAGTAAAAAGCACCGTTTTATGAGTCTGAGAAAATTTACAACTACCCTGAAGTGTGGGTAAATTAAGCATTGGAACATATTATCTAAATATCCTCATGTTTATTACAACTGAATGTGGCACTATACACTATGTAAAGACTACATAATAAAACAGCAATAATTGACATCAATCAACTATGTAAAATTAAAATTCATAAAGGAATTGTTTAATTGTAATAATCTATCTTTGGTCGTAAAACTTTTGCAATGAATTCATTACTTATACATAAACAAGTGAATGTATGATTTTTTTAACACACTGGCCACCTCCCACCAAGGCAGGGTGACCTGAAAAAGAAACTCTTTCACCATACTTTGCACCTCCAGGACAAAGTCAGCTAACCAGTTTCCCTGAACCTCTTCACAAAATATTAACCCTGCTCACACTCCAACAGTCAAGTTTCAAAAACCATTCGTCTCCATTCACTCCTATCTATAACACTCACACTGTTGCATATCCAAGCTCCTTGCACAAAAAACCTCATTTATCTCCCTTCTTCCATCCTTTACTTGGATGACCCCTAACCCACCTTCTCAATACTACAGGTTTATAAACCCTCAGATTTTTCCTACTCTGATCCAACCTCTCTAAATGACCAAACCACCTCAATAACCCCTCTTCAGTTCTCTGAATAATACTTTTAGTAATCTCAAATTTCCTCCTAATTTCCACACTGAATTCTCTGCATAATATTTATGCTACACATTGACCTTAGACATGACATCTCCTCTACCTCCAGCCTCCTTGTCACTGCAACATTCACAACCTGTGCTTCACACCCATGAAAGAATGTTGGTACCAATGTATGTATATAAATATAATAACATGTAATAAGATCACATTAAACAGGTGATACCACTCTATGCAAAACAACTGAATGTAATGTCTTATTTGAGGTGATATCTCAGCCTTATAAGTCCTGATGTTCTATTATTTTCACAGGTCCTTGATAATGTGAGAAGTTACAAAAGTGCTCGAAATTTCACTATTTTCACAGTGGTTGTTTTGCATATAATAACATGTGAAATGCTTTTCTCAGCTTCAAGAAAGCCATAAAAGCATAAATACAGTAATTTAATTATCATTAAAAGCCTGCAGACAGCTCAGTCATTTAAGGCTTGGCAAGATTCAAAATTTACTTATAAAGCCAAACAAATCTTGTATATTTATATAAATGAAACTAAAATTATATTTCATGCAAGTTAGTACAGACAATGATCAAGAGTAGGGATCTTTCCAGAGGATTAAATTCAAAAGATGGTAACCTGATCTGACAGGACTTGATCACTTCGGTCAGTTGAAAGCTAAGAGGCAGACCAGGAGTTGTAGCTCATCTTCTGCATACTCAAGTAATAACTCATCTTGCAGATATGCACTAACACACAAAATTTGATAAAGCTTCGTATCCAAGCCAAACATCACCAGCTATTAAGGTTTCCAAATTTCTTGTTTATCTCTTACTTACACAATATTCTTAGTACATTCAGCAACTCTGAGTATTTAAACTTACTGAAAAGGGGACCTTCATATGGTACTATCATTAACAATTATCAATAAAGATAAGTCTACTAATAAAATTGGCACTAAAAAAATTTGTTGTAATATAATGGAAACTTGAATTTCTCAAACTTAATCATTAACAAAATAAATATAAAATAACTCTTCATAAATTAAATTAATAAAGAAACTAATGCGAGTGACAGAACAGCCCTACATTTAATATTTACAAGTACTGCAAGATACTTATAAATTATATACTGTTCCCTAAATATAAAAGTTACTTAGATACATAAAAAACTTTGTCAAAGCAAAGTTTTTTATGTATCTGAAGAAGACAGTGATGAACACCTTAGATCCTTGCTCCAGTAATGTCAGTCTCCATGTCTGGCTTGATGTATTCACACGATGCTACCGTTCCTTCATACAGTAGACCGAGGTCCAGGTCTGTTAAATTAGCTGAAAGCAAAGAATTGAAGATTGCAATAATAAAATTATTGTCAACATTATCTGACAGTACATGAACATTCATAGAGCCACAGCAATACATAACACTCCTGCCCACTTTTCTTTGGCCACACGAACATGCTTCTTTTTTTGTATTCTTTCTTCTATTTCAATGCACCGGCCGTATCCCACTGAAGCAGGGTGGCCCAAAAAGAAAAACAAAAGTTTCTCTTTATAAATTTAGTAATGTAAACAAGAGAAGCAGTTACTAGCCCCTTGCTCCTGGCATTTTAGTAGCCTCTTACAACATGCATGACTTCTTTCCTTTCTTTCAACACACCGGCCATATCCCACAGAGGCGGGGTGGCCCAAAAGGAAAAATGAAAGGTTCTCCTTATACATTTAGTAATATATACAGGAGAAGGGGTTACTAGCCCCGTGCTCCTGGCATTTTAGTCGCCTCTTACGACGCATGACTTTTTTTTTTTCAACAAATCGGCCATTTCCCACCAAGGCAGGGTGGCCCAAAAAGAAAAACAAAAGTTTCTCTTTTTAAATTTAGTAATTTATACAGGAGAAGGGGTTACTAGCCCCTTGCTCCTGGCAGGAATAATCCTTTTCCACTTCCCCATGGACTTGGAAGTCTTATCACTGTAAAATAAATTTGAAATTTACTATAAAGATTTTAATATTAATGTGAAACTTTTACATGAAACTTTATGATCTATATTAAGTAATTAGTCTATTCACCTTTTGCTGTTAACAAGTCCAAAAATGTATCAAATGGAGAGAGCCGGTCAATTGTTGGGAATGCAGTCAAACCTGTAAAAAGTGAAACAACGTCAGTGTATCAAGCTTCATCCCATCATATAGTGTCAAAATAAGTCATGCTATGCTACTGGTAACCTGATTTAAAAAATGACAAAAAATAACAATGATGCCAATTATGTGAAGAAAAGCATCATTCAGAGACAAGCAGTTATTTAGATAATGTTTTGCTTAGTCCTAGGTAGTAGGTTGGTAGACAGCAACCGCCCAGGGAGGTACTACCGTCCTGCCAAGTGAGTGGAAAATGAGAGCCTGTAATTGTTTTACATGATGGTAGGATTGCTGGTGTCTTTTGTCTGTCTCATAAACATGCAAGATTTCAGGTATGTCTTGCTGCTTCTACTTACACTTAGGTCACACTACACATACATTTTTTTTTTTTTCAACAAGTCGGTCGTCTCCCACCGAGGCAGGGTGACCCAAAAAAAGAAAGAAAATCCCCAAAACGAAAATACTTTCATCATCATTCAACACTTTCACCACACTCACACATTATCACTGCTTTTGCAGAGGTGCTCAGAATACAACAGCTTAGAAGCATATACGTATAAAGATACACAACATATCCCTCCAAACTGCCAATATCCCAAACCCCTCCTTTAAAGTGCAGGCATTGTACTTCCCATTTCCAGGACTCAAGTCCGACTATATGAAAATAACCGGTTTCCCTGAATCCCTTCACTAAATATTACCCTGCTCACACTCCAGCAGATCGTCAGGTCCCAAGTATCATTCGTCTCCATTCACTCCTATCTAACACGCTCATGCACGCTTGCTGGAAGTCCAAGCCCCTCGCCCACAAAACCTCCTTTACCCCCTCTTTCCAACCCTTTTGAGGACGACCCCTACCCCTCTTTCCTTCCCCTATAGATTTATATGCTTTCCATGTCATTCTACTTTGATCCATTCTCTCTAAATGACCAAACCACCTCAACAACCCCTCTTCTGCCCTCTGACTAATGCTTTTATTAACTCCACACCTTCTCCTAATTTCCACACTCCGAATTTTCTGCATAATATTTACACCACACATTGCCCTTAGACAGGACATCTCCACTGCCTCCAACCGTCTCCTCGCTGCTGCATTTACCACCCAAGCTTCACATCCATATAAGAGTGTTGGTACTACTATACTTTCACACATTCCCTTCTTTGCCTCCATAGATAACGTTTTTTGACTCCACATATACCTCAATGCACCACTCACGTTTTTTCCCTCATCAATTCTATGATTAACCTCATCCTTCATAAATCCATCCGCCGACACTTCAGCTCCAAGTATCTGAAAACATTCACTTCTTCCATACTCCTCCTCCCCAATTTGATATCCAATTTTTCTTTATCTAAATCATTTGATACCCTCATCACCTTACTCTTTTCTATGTTCACTTTCAACTTTCTACCTTTACACACATTCTCAAACTCATCCACTAACCTTTGCAATTTTTCTTTAGAATCTCCCATAAGCACAGTATCATCAGTAAAAAGTAACTGTGTCAATTCCCATTTTGAATTTGATTCCCCATAATTTAATCCCACCCCTCTCCCGAACACCCTAGCATTTACTTCTTTTACAACCCCATCTATAAATATATTAAACAACCATGGTGACATTACACATCCCTGTCTAAGACCTACTTTTACCGGGAAGTATTCTCCCTCTCTTCTACATACCCTAACCTGAGCCTCACTATCCTCATAAAAGCTCTTTACAGCATTTAGTAACTTACCACCTATTCCATATACTTGCAACATCTGCCACATTGCTCCTCTATCCACTCTATCATATGCCTTTTCTAAATCCATAAATGCAATAAAAACTTCCCTACCTTTATCTAAATACTGTTCACATATATGCTTCAATGTAAACACTTGATCTACACATCCCCTACCCACTCTGAAGCCTCCTTGCTCATCCGCAATTCTACATTCTGTCTTACCTCTAATTCTTTCAATTATAACCCTACCGTATACTTTTCCTGGTATACTCAGTAAACTTATTCCTCTATAATTTTTACAATCTCTTTTGTCCCCTTTCCCTTTATATAAAGGGACTATACATGCTCTCTGCCAATCCCTAGGTACCTTCCCCTCTTTCATACATTTATTAAACAAAAGTACCAACCACTCCAACACTATATCCCCCCCTGCTTTTAACATTTCTGTCATGATCCCATCAGTTCCAGCTGCTTTACCCCCTTTCATTCTACCTCCACCACACTTACGTTCTGCTCTTCTTCACTCCTAAAAGATGGTATACCTCCCTGGCCAGTGCACGAAATTACCGCCTCCCTTTCTTCCTCAACATTTAAAAGTTCCTCAAAATATTCTCGCCATCTACCTAATACCTAATAATACCTAATACATGTACAAGCATATATATACACACCCCTCTGGGTTTTCTTCTATTTTCTTTCTGGTTCTTGTTCTTGTTTGTTTCCTCTTATCTCCATGGGGAAGTGGAACAGAATTCTTCCTCCGTAAGCTATGCGTGTTGTAAGAGGCACCTAAAATGCCGGGAGCAAGGGGCTAGTAACCCCTTCTCCTGTATATATTACTAAATGTAAAAGGAGAAACTTTCATTTTTCCTTTTGGGCCACCCTGCCTCAGTGGGATACGGCCGGTTTGTTGAAAGAAAGAAGAAGTTTTGCTTAGTCAAGCTTCAAGCAGTACCTCTATATGCTCTATGATAATGGTCTTACCGAGGAAAAGTTTATAATACTCAGAGTGAAATGTTGAAAGAATGTCTTCAAGCCAATTTCTTTTACTCTACAATAAAAAATTGATACACAAACAATTTAACTTGAAAACTTTGTAAAATGAAGCTAAATAATTTACATGTTGTAAACTTTTCCTTGAATACTTAAGATAAAAATCATAAACCAATATAATGAAACATGGTTCTTCAGAACTTTGTAAGTCACTGCCTCTCATTAGATTATCATGGTCAAAAATATTTTAACTGCTAATATGTTGCTATTAATATAAAATAATTATGCTAATATAATGTTACAAAATTATAAAATGTTGATGCTAATATAGTGTTATATTTTATTATTTTATAAATCATTCAAACAAAATGGTTGGACTGGCATATTGTTGACAAGACTCAAGCAGTTCAGTAAGCTTTTGTTGGAACATTTCACATTATGTTGGCCTTTATCTAGTAGTAGTACATGCTGTATAAAGTTACAAAACATTGTCCCACTAAAAGACTGTTCTGGGACTAGTGTCTTTGTCTTCATGTTAAGTCATTAAGATATTCCTTCATGCACACAATCTATAACACAGTGCCTACCACCTAGCAAGGCAATTAACAAGTGAGTGAGGAGTGAATATGCCTCAGGGAAACAGCCAACTGATGTGAAACTAAATATGTAACAACAGTGCAGCAGTATAAAAGATCCTAGGAAATGATATATGGCAAAGATAGTTTTTTAAACACATGGGAATGAAAAGAGACACATCATATTATTATCATACCAGGAGGCAACTTATTACCATCTAGTGTCATTACCTTTGTTCTGAAGATGTTGAGCATTGATCCTGGCAGACTGTGTTGGTGTCCTTGGTTGCCCTGGTCCCTCACCAGCAAGAATGGAGCCAGCATGAAGCCTTGACCTTAGAATCAAGGACATTGGGTGTTGCCAGAACTGAAGGGCTCGGAGGCTCCTAACAAGCGGTACAGATGATATGATTTCTAGCTTTCTCTCCACATTCTGAGGGGTGTCATCCAAATCTGTACAGAATGTGGCAGTAATCAAATTCATGTGATTACCTGCTGTTTTAATTAGTTCTAATAATGCATATTACCTGGAGTTTACCTGGAGATATATATATTGTAATGAAAAATATAGTGACAGTTGTATTGCAAAATTTCACAGCAATGCATGAAAAAGTGAAGAAAAAATGAAAAATACATAATGCTAGCTAAAAAAAAAAAAAAACAATGACTATTACTCTCTTAATTAATTTTAGGTACTGGTACAAATAAAAAATAATTCTCACCATAAATAATTTCCCTCAAGACATCCACATTGAGCTGCAGAACTCCACGACGAACATACTGCATAAACACAAAGTGGGGCAGGCAACGGTGTGCTAAGTAAGCCAAAAAAGAGTTGTAACCTTGAGGAAGAGGGTATGCTACAGCTTCCGTTGCTGAGTGGTATCGCTCAAGTAATGTGAAGAGTCGAGTAGCAACAGCATCATCCAACTGCTCTCTGTAATAATAACATACAAACTGTTTATGATGATGCTTCAGATAGTCATTCATTCATGATCCTATAAACAGAACTACATTATTCAGAAAACATAGAAGTTATTATTTTATAGCTCAGTGAAAAACTAACCTAGAGTAGCAGATATTAAATTTTTGTTAATATTTAGATTGGACAGAAATCAATTAAGTGTTATACAAGCAAAAACATCCAAGCTGTTTGGAAGACAGACTGAATTGAGAATGGCTGTGTACCCACATATGTCAAATACATTTGTTATGTACAGAAGTAGAAAGCCACTTAACATTTCACCTACTGAAGACTTCATCACATACCAGGTACTGTACTTAATAAAGCCCTCAGTGTGTTTTTCTAAAACTATTTGTCAGCTTAAAGTCATTATTCCAGCATGTCATGTTGTAGCCAAGTTTTGTGACGATTACAAATGACAAGACTGTGTTTAGAACATCCAGGAAGGCACTGATAGTTCCTGTTGCATTTGATGAACTGAACATCACAAAGTCTTACTGACACTGAGGACTGCTAGCAAAATTTGTGTTATTTACTGCTATCCTGTGAGCTGTAGAATAATGACTGTTGCAGATTCTTGACTGAATTCTGGATCAATGTGCTAGTAGGTTTACACACAGTTACTATAGATATTTATGGCAATATAATAGTGTACTATAACCTTGCACCGAAAATACAATGTGTGAAAATTATTCTTAGCAATATGCATGTTAAGTTTCTGCAAAAAGAGAATGCGGAAAGCATGTGACTTTAAAATAAGGAAAAAATGACATAAACATCAGTTAAATGACAGTTTACACATAAAACTTTCAATATAATAAGGGAAGATCCTGGATTATGATTCATCTTGTAGTCTACAATAAAGTTTACTCAAAGGCACAGTGTGTACTGTACAATAATATAAAAAATAGGTACTCATCTTATTAAATAAACATGAAAAGGCGCTACAGGTAGTAGGTTGGTAGACAGCAACCACCCAGGGAGGTACTACCGTCCTGCCAAGTGAGTGTAAAGCTTCTTTCTTTCAACACACCGGCCGTATCCCACTGAGGCGGGGTGGCCCAAAAGGGAAAACAAAACCTTCTCCTTTTACATTTAGTAATATATACAGGAGAAGGGGCTACTAGACCCTTGCTCCTGGCATTTTAGTCGCCTCTTACAACACGCGTGGTTTACGGAGGAAGAATTCTGTTCCACTTCCCCATGGAGGTAAGAGGAAATAAACAAGAACAAGAACTAGTAAGAAAATAGAAGAAAACCCAGAGAAGTGTGTATATATATGCTTGTACATGTTCATATAGTCGGACTCGAGTCCTGGAAATGGGAAGTACAATGCCTGCACTTTAAAGGAGGGGTTTGGGATATTGGCAGTTTGGAGGGATATGTTGTGTATCTTTATACGTATATGCTTCTAAGCTGTTGTATTCTGAGCACCTCTGCAAAAGCAGTGATAATGTGTGAGTGTGGTGAAAGTGTTGAATGATGATGAAAGCATTTTCTTTTTGGGGATTTTCTTTCTTTTTTGGGTCACCCTGCCTCGGTGGGAGACGGCCGACTTGTTGGAAAAAAAAAAAAAAAAAAAAAACATGTATGTGTAGTGTGACCTAAGTGTAAGTAGAAGTAGCAAGACATACCTGAAACCTTGCATGTATATGAGACAGAAAAATGGACACCAGCAATCCTACCATCATGTAAAACAATTACAGGCTTTCGTTTTACACTCACTTGGCAGGACGGTAGTAAGTGAGTGTAAAATGAAAGCCTGTAATTGTTTTACATGATGGTAGGATTGCTGGTGTCCATTTTTTGTCTCATAAACATGCAAGGTTTCAGGTACGTCTTGCCACTTCTACTTACACTTAGGTCACACTACACATACATGTACAAGCATATATATACACACCCCTCTGGGTTTTCTGCTATTTTCTTTCTAGTTCTTGTACTTGTTTATTTCCTATCTCCATGGGGAAGTGGAACTGAATTCTTCCTCCGTAAGCCATGTGTGCTGTAAGAGGCGACTAAAATGCCGGGAGCAAGGTGCTAGTAACCCCTTCTCCTGTATAAATTACTAAATTTAAAAAGAGAAACTTTCATTTTTCTTTTTATGCCACCCTGCCTTGGTGGGATACGGGCGGTTTGTTGAAAGAAGAAACATGCAAGGTTTCAGGTACGTCTTGCCACTTCTACTTACACTTAGGTCACACTACACATACATGTACAAGCATATATATACACACCCCTCTGGGTTTTCTGCTATTTTCTTTCTAGTTCTTGTACTTGTTTATTTCCTATCTCCATGGGGAAGTGGAACTGAATTCTTCCTCCGTAAGCCATGTGTGCTGTAAGAGGCGACTAAAATGCCGGGAGCAAGGTGCTAGTAACCCCTTCTCCTGTATAAATTACTAAATTTAAAAAGAGAAACTTTCATTTTTCTTTTTATGCCACCCTGCCTTGGTGGGATACGGGCGGTTTGTTGAAAGAAGAAACATGCAAGGTTTCAGGTACGTCTTGCCACTTCTACTTACACTTAGGTCACACTACACATACATGTACAAGCATATATATATACACACACCCCTCTGGGTTTTCTTCTATTTTCTTACTAGTTCTTGTTCATTTCCTCTTATCTCCATGGGGAAGTGGAACAGAAATCTTCCTCCGTAAGCTATGCGTGTTGTAAGAGGCGACTAAAATGACGGGAGCAAGGGGCTAGTAACCCCTTCTCCTGTATAAATTACTAAATTTAAAAAGAGAAACTTTCATTTTTCTTTCTATGCCACCCTGCCTTGGTGGGATACGGGCGGTTTGTTGAAAAAAAAAAATGAAAAAGTGCATGTCTCCTTTTCAAAAATCATATTTTACTCTATAAAACAGTTGATCTATGTTAAAATAAGTCATATTCAATAGCAGAAAACTCACATGAATGTGAATCCTTTTTCACTCTTTTCTGCAGGAACAAGAGTCTGAGAAGAGCACAAGATGGAGCACAAACGACGGGACACCTGAAGCATAGTGAGAAAACTACTACATTAAGTATGCTAAATATTCTTCAACCACATATAGATAACATAAAGTTCTACTCTGAAGAAATCAGGACTTGGCTACCTCACTATCTAACATGAATTCCCATACTAGTATTTAACTCTGAATTTAACAAAATCCAAAGATGTTACAGAATTCTATTAAGCAAGTTTGAATGTCAGTTTGTGAATGTCATTGTGACTGCTATACTGACTGGTTACATTTTTAACTTTAGCCATTGACCACACATTTTTTTTAAGCTGTTGAACAAAGGCATAAAGATTACAGCATATAACAATAGTGAACTCCAGCTCAGTAGCTGTATGTAGGATGCATCATCAAAATGTCTCATACAGTCAGTTTCTGTAAAGAAATACAATTCCCAAATTACACAAAGTTTTAAGAGTGACAAGAAAAGGCTACACGTGCCGTTCTGTTGGCTAATGTTTGATAGTACAAACATACAAACTTTTTTGCTATTTACTTTATACCTGTTTTATCATAAACTCTTATTTTTACTTACAGATGTAAGCTAAGAATTATTTTTAAGGCCTGTATTACCATTATATTAAACAATGCAGTGTAACTGTATGGGTCTTTCATTATTCCATAGTGTTACATATGAGGACTACTGCAGATAAAGTGAAGTCAAGAAAGCCAAAACATCAAATGCTTGTAAAAAATACTTGTTTAATTTACCTGTAACTGTGTACAAACATATTTGCTGGCAACTGCGTGCACTCTCATAGGAGACTCATGTGGAAAGTGCTTCAGGCAGTACATACTCAACTCCCTCAGGTTCTGTCATCAGAAATGTATATATAATTAATGAACATCTTTCAAGAGTTCAAAATTCATACTCAGCTCCCTCAAATTCTACAGTAAGAAATAAAGTATATATATTATTAAACATGTTTCTTCAAAGAAACCATATTACCTTTGGTTTAATTATCTCAGACATAAAATTTATGTTTAGAAGCAGATATTACACATGCCCTTAGTCTGATTAATTTCCTGGTACAGTAACAATACATAAGTAAAGATTTACTGTACTGTACCTGCATATCAAGTACAGTACAGTAATGAGAATGTACTGCTGGCTAGATCATTTATATTTCTTTTTTACCACTTTGGCCATTTTTCCACCAAGATCTAAACATATTCACAATCATTTATTTAATAGCTGTCTTGCTAGACATGTACAGACACATCTCTAACCTTCCCTGGGTCATCCCATAAAGGACTGGAGGGAGGCAGTAAAGGAATATTTGAGTGCTAGGAATCTGAACATCCAACAGGTTTGTGTGAGATTGACAGGTCAAGAGTGAGTGGAAACAAGTGGCTTTTTATGACTTGATGTGCTGTTGGAGTGTGAGCATAGTAACATTTACAAAGGATTCAGAGAAACTTGAGTTCTGGAGGCTGGAAGTAGAGTGCCTGCACTCTAAAGCTGTAAGTAGTTTACAGTCTGGAGGGTAATTGGAAAGGCAATGTCAGCAAACTTTTGGCAAGACAGCAATCAAGTGAATGATGGTAAATGTTTTTCCTCTTTGTTGGGTCATTCTACCTTAGAGACATCCAGTGCATTAAAATATACATTCTGGTTATATTTATATACGGTATGAGGAAAAATTAAATCAGTTTCATTTACAATAGTTTCAAGAGTAATAATAATAATCATATTGACTATAGCCCTCAACTTGTGAAAGGTAGAGTACTTACAACAGACAGGAAGTGCTCCACTTTAGCTGATACAGTGGGTAGAGTATTTACAAAAGACAGGAAGTGCTCCACTTTAGCTGATACAGTGGGTAGAGTATTTACAACAGACAGGAAGTGCTTCACTTTAGCTGATACAGTGGGAAGAGTATTTACAACAGACAGGAAGTACTCCACTTTAGCTGATACAGTGGGTAGAGTATTTACAACAGACAGGAAGTGCTCCACTTTAGCTGATACAGTGGGAAGAGTATTTACAACAGACAGGAAGTACTCCACTTTAGCTGATACAGTGGGTAGAGTATTTACAACAGACAGGAAGTGCTCTACTTTAGCTGATACAGTGGGTAGAGTACTGCACTTACAACAGACAGGAAGTGCTCCACTTTAGCTGATACAGTGGGTAGAGTATTTACAACAGACAGGAAGTGCTCCACTTTAGCTGATACAGTGGGTAGAGTATTTACAACAGACAGGAAGTGCTCCACTTTAGCTGATACAGTGGGTAGAGTATTTACAACAGACAGGAAGTGCTCCACTTTAGCTGATACAGTGGGTAGAGTACTTACAACAGACAGGAAGTGCTCCACTTTAGCTGATACAGTGGGTAGAGTACTATACTTACAACAGACAGGAAGTGCTCCACTTTAGCTGATACAGTGGGTAGAGTATTTACAAAAGACAGGAAGTGCTCCACTTTAGCTGATACAGTGGGTAGAGTATTTACAACAGACAGGAAGTGCTCCACTTTAGCTGATACAGTGGGTAGAGTATTTACAACAGACAGGAAGTGCTCCACTTTAGCTGATACAGTGGGTAGAGTACTTACAACAGACAGGAAGTGCTCCACTTTAGCTGATACATTGGGTAGAGTACTTACAACAGACAGGAAGTGCTCCACTTTAGCTGATACAGTGGGTAGAGTACTGTACTTACAACAGACAGGAAGTGCTCCACTTTAGCTGATAAAGTGGGTGGAGTACTTACAACAGACAAGAGGTGCTCCAGTTTAGATGATGTAGTGTTCTCAGCCTCATTAAAGGGGAGTGGGTCAAACATGAGATGTGCAAGTGTCAAGCCTAGTGAAGTGATGGTCAGACCTCCCACAAGTGGACTTGCAGGAGACACTGGGGTGCTACCTTGGGATAATGCCTCAGGCTAACAAAACAAATAAAAAGGAAAACATTATTGCCATGAAAAAGTCAAGGTACAATACAATTATTACTAGAAAAGTTAATGCAGTTTTCATAAATAACACTAAAATTGTAAATGAAAACTGAATGACATTTTTGCCCATTGTGGATTATTAAGTTGTGAATCGTTAAAGTCTTGGAACTTTCACTTTTATTCCTTTGTTTTATTATGTTTAGCACTTAACTTGATTATAATAAATAAACAGAAGGGTGAATGAGGGCCTTGAACTGCAGTCCATAAACTAACAGTCCGACACTCTACTATCTAGGATACCCCAGACAGTAGAGCGTCGGACTGTTAATTTACAGACCGCAGTTTGAGCCCCTCGCCCACCCTTCTGTTTATTCATTAACAGTTGTTAATTACAACTTAACACAAGTTCTTGATTTTAATTATAATAAAAATGATACTTTTTATAACACAGCACTAATTATTGTATGCAAAACTTTGATATTTGATTCTACAAAGTTACATAGTAATCATTTTACATAAAATCACACCATCTGACCAAAGAGCAAGCACAAACAACTCATATGACAGTTAATTATGTAATACACATATCAATTTATGTATGTAACAACCCTCACTTTACTATTGTCTCAATAAAACTCAACACAGAGTGAATTTTATGAACTAAATAAAATAATTTTGATAATTCCCAAGCTACAAACTTTGTATGTGTCCAGAGAGACCATGAGCTTCTCCACTACACCGGTAAGGCTGAAGCGCTGGTGGTGTCTCTTGCTTGTGTGCTCCCACAGCTTGGTCCAGGTGTCCGACAGGGTGCGAACCACACGCTCACGAGGCGACAAGAGCATTATGCATGCATTTTCCAGCAGGCAATATGAAATCCGAACATTTTCTTCGGCTGGGGTTTCCTACATAAAAAAAAAAAGTTTATCATTATTACATACATAAAGTATATACAAAAAAGTATTAGTTGTACAATACTTAACAAGTTATCCATGTAGAATTTATCCCATACATAAAAGTATATTAAGAAATATAAGACATAAACCCACACGAAGATAAAAATTAAACACAGGGTAAACCTATGTAGGTTTACATTATATTCATCAGTATTCATTAAACTACCACCATTAAGCAATGAATATTTCATTTGGTGAACAATATTTTCAAGACTCAAACTTTCACCAAGTAGACACAGAAGAAGCAAAAACAATATTTATGATGGAAACTCTTACAACATATTCAGTATCAGTGGTGAAAGGTGAAGTAGTGATGGGGAGGAGGGAGATGAGGTGTCCAGCATCAGAATCAATGTGCTTGTGCACTGCAGCATACGTCTCCCCTACCAGGTACTCTTGAAGCAAAGCCGGTGTGTCGAGGTTGTATGGATTTTCACACACACTCCACATCAGCTACAGATGTATTCTTGAGTCAAAATTTGTGTGAAAGTGTTTGTATCTACATGTATATAAATCCATCTATCAATGCATATAAATGCTAATATACCATATGCATCATTAAGTTTATAAGAGAACAAATTTTAAATGACGAGTTCACAACCTTAATATGAGAATCATAATTAAAATAATAAACTAGCACCGTACTCTTGCAAGAAATGCGAAATATGCAACTTGTAACTGGTAATTCCATACTAAACAAAAGTATTACTGAAGGCTCTACTGGCAATAAAGAAAATACAAAACTTGGAAGTGTACATTCACAGCTAAGGAAAAGTGTTTACAGAGGAAGTCTTTATTTTGATGATGTTTCACTCAATGTTGTACTTTATCAATTCATGAATTGTGACTATCACACTTGTTGGCACTATCTGCCAGTCAGAGCACGCTTACAAATTATTATCTGAGACTGTACTTTCATATTAAGAGTCATAAGTCACAGCAGACTACCAACATTTTCTTAGGACTGGTTGTAGAGCACATGTACATAAGCATACTGTATGCATGCCAAGCTATAATGCACACACATTACCTGGAGTTTACCTGGAGAGAGTTCCGGGGGTCAACGCCCCCACGGCCCGGTCTGTGACCAGGCCTCCTGGTGAATCAGAGCCTGACCAACCAGGCTGTTACTGCTGGCTGCACGCAATCCAATGTACGAGCCACAGCCCGGCTGGTCAGGTACCGACTTTAGGTGCTTGTCTAGTGCATGTACATACATTGGCAAAACACCTGATCAGTGCGTAAGCCATTCGGCCAGCTGGTCAGCCAGTTAGATGAATCTTATTGTAGCCACTCGCCAGTGGGGACTGAACCCACCTGCTGTGCATTCAATCCCCACTCATGCTATTACAATTTCCTGAGTCACTGGCAAAACTTCCACCTAAAACTGCTAATCCATCAATTAAATTACTTACCCATGCAACAAATTTTAGACTCACTGTACATAAGCACTTTTTAATCATCCATATATGCACCTATTTTCTGATGGAATACTATTATAATCACAGGGAAGCACTACACTCATTAGCATCAAACAGCTCCTGAGGAATGGGAGGTAATCAGGAAGAGAGGGGTAGCTTCAATTCCTTGGATCAGGAGCCACTTGCAGCATTCTACTTTACAGTATCATCTAAGCTTCATGTAACAATACAGAGAACAATATCCCACCAGGTGTTCCTGCAGTATAATGGGGCAGTCCAGTTTTTCAAGACATTCAATAAAACACTCCACATCAATTATAGTTGCCACATGATGCACAGAAACACAAAATTAACATGATTATACAACTAATTACAAGTTGTGAAGGAAGTCAGATGCCTTTTAGTGCTAGACAGAAATGAAATCAAAGCTAACATTATATTTCATGCACGATCACAGTAATATGGTAAACATTCAATGGCATTAAGTTAAAATTATTAAAATATTCTCAAAACAAGTTATGGTTCCAACATACATGCAAGTGTATAAGTTTAGAGGAAACTAGTGATAAATTTTCTGATTCATATATGAAATTATGAGAGGACAGTGAAAGCAAACATAAACCTTGGTAATATTTTAGGTATAAATGCATAGTTTCCTATTAATTTTTGACAGATTTCTGAGACTAGACATGCATCTCATGAAGAATTTTACATATTGCTCTTTTTGGTACATAAAAAAGTTATATATTGTGTAACATGCATTATAATCAAACACAACTGAAATAAAGACCTTTTTTTTTTTAACACGTCGGCTGTTTCCTGCCAAGGCAGGTGACAAACGGCTGATGTGTTAAAAAAAGACTACATATACAAAATATTTTCACCTGAAATATAAATTAATATAAGATATACTGTACTGTATATTATCATTATTATTATTACTATTATTATAATCAAAACTAAGCACTAAACCCATGAGGTTCATACAGCACTGGATAATATCATATTAATATATAGTTTACAACTGAAGTATTGTGAAAGAAATGTAATAGAGTAAATAATTAATATTTTTACTGAGAGAGTAGTAAGGGAGAAAAAGTTAGCATATGAGAAGTTTTTACAAAGTAGAAGTGATGCGAGGAGGGAAGAGTATATGGAGAAAAAGAGAGAGGTCAAGAGAGTGGTGAAGCAATGTAAAAAGAGAGCAAATGAGAGAGTGGGTGAGATGCTATCAACAAATTTTGTTGAAAATAAGAAAAAGTTTTGGAGTGAGATTAACAAGTTAATGGAGAGTTAGAGGTATTGGGAAGATGGAGGGAATATTTTGAGGAATTGTTAAATGTTGATGAAGATAGGGAAGCTGTGATTTCGTGTATAGGGCAAGGAGGAATAACATCTTAGGAGTGAGGAAGAGCCAGTTGTGAGTGTGGGGAAGTTCGTGAGGCAGTAGATAAAATGAAAGGGGGTAAGGCAGCCGGGATTGATGGGATAAAGATAGAAATGTTAAAAGTAGGTGGGGATATAGTTTTGGAGTGGTTGGTGCAATTATTTAATAAATGTATGGAAGAGGGTAAGGTACCTAGGGATTGGCAGAGAGCATGCATAGTTCCTTTGTATAAAGGCAAAGGAGACAAAAGAGAGTGCAAAAATTATAGGGGGATAAGTTGTTGAGTATACCTGGTAAAGTGTATGGTAGAGTTATTATTGAAAGAATTAAGAGTAAGACGGAGAATAGGATAGCAGATGAACAAGGGGGCTTTAGGAAAGGTAGGGGGTGTGTGGACCAGGTGTTTACAGTGAAACGTATAAGTGAACAGTATTTAGATAAGGCTAAAGAGGTCTTTGTGGCATTTATGGATTTGGAAAAGGCGTATGACAGGGTGGATAGGGATGCAATGTGGCAGATGTTGCAGGTGTATGGTGTAGGAGGTAGGTTACTGAAAGCAGTGAAGAGTTTTTACGAGGATAGTGAGGCTCAAGTTAGAGTATGTAGGAAAGAGGGAAATTATTTCCCAGTAAAAGTAGGCCTTAGACAAGGATGTGTGATGTCACCGTGGTTGTTTAATATATTTACAGATGGGGTTGTAAGAGAAGTAATTGCGAGGGTCTTGGCAAGAGGCGTGGAGTTAAAAGATAAAGAATCACACAAAGTGGGGGTTGTCACAGTTGCTCTTTGCTGATGACACTGTGCTCTTGGGGATTCTGAAGAGAAGTTGCAGAGATTGGTGGATGAATTTGGTAGGGTGTGCATAAGAAGAAAATTAAAAGTGAATACAGGAAAGAGTAAGGTTATGAGGATAACAAAAAGATTAGGTGATGAAAGATTGGATATCAGATTGGAGGGAGAGAGTATGGAGGAGGTGAATGTATTCAGATATTTGGGAGTGGACGTGTCAGTGGATGGGTCTATGAAAGATGAGGTGAATCATAGAATTGATGAGGGGAAAAGGGTGAGTGGTGCACTTAGGAGTCTGTGGAAACAAAGAACTTTGTCCTTGGAGGCAAAGAGGGGAATGTATGAGAGTATAGTTTTACCAACGCTCTTATATGGGTGTGAAGCATGGGTGATGAATGTTGCAGCGAGGAGAAGGCTGGAGGCAGTGGAGATGTCATATCTGAGGGCAATGTGTGGTGTGAATATAATGCAGAGAATTCGATGTTTGGAAGTTAGGAGGAGCTGCGGGATTACCAAAACTGTTGTCCAGAGGGCTGAGGAAGGGTTGTTGAGGCGGTTCGGACATGTAGAGAGAATGGAGCGAAACAGAATGACTTCAAGAGTGTATCAGTCTGTAGTGGAAGGAAGGCGGGGTAGGGGTTGGCCTAGGAAAGGTTGGAGGGAGGGGGTAAAGGAGGTTTTGTGTGCGAGGGGCTTGAACTTCCAGCAGGCATGCGTGAGCGTGTTTGATAGGAGTAAATGGAGACAAATGGTTTTTAATACTTGACGTGCTGTTGGAGTGTGAGCAAAGTAACATTTATGAAGGGGTTCAGGGAAACCGGCAGGCCGGACTTGAGTCCTGGAGATGGGAAGTACAGTGCCTGTACTCTGAAGGAGGGGTGTTAATGTTGCAGTTTAAAAACTGTAGTGTAAAGCACCCTTCTGGCAAGACAGTGATGGAGTGAATGATGGTGAAAGTTTTTCTTTTTCGGGCCACCCTGCCTTGGTGGGAATCGGCCAGTGTGATAATAAAAAATAATAAAATAAAATTTTACTGTTATCAATAGGAAATTTGACTTTGGTCTACCTTTCGAGAAAGATCGTGATCTTTATCATGGATCGCTGCTAAGTGGAGTATTGCCAGTCGTGTACTGAGAGTAGAGGAACTCTTGAACAGTGAAAACAGAGACTCCTTAGTCACTCGAACTTCCACAGTCATCTGATTTACACCATCCACAAACGTTATGCAGCGGCCAGAGATAACTTTGCCTCCGCATATCTAAGGAACATAATACATACTGTTTAGAAACATAAAATTTAATTGAAAATTAAGTTTAAAATTCAGAAAACACTAGCTGGAACAATTCACATCTCAAAATTAGGAAAAGAAACTACAGACAACATTTTTGGTCACCTGGGAGCATTATCAAGACATTATGAGAATGATTCAGTCCAGGACAGACTATAAGGTCATCTAAGGTTTCCATTCTTAACTGTGAGCTAGTTGTGGCTAACTGAAATTAACTAAATGCCAGGTTTTATAAATATCAACCAATTTATATTTGTGTTGTGGTATAAGTCTCTTAAAGAAAGCACTACTTATGACAACACTTGTTATACAAATCAAGTTAAGTCTCTGTGAAGAATAAATTCAAATAATTCTAATGAAGGTTTGGTTAAGATCATTTAATAATTTAATGGCTATGACCTTGCTCATACATAAAGACACCTACAAAATTAGATAAGTATTTTTGACAAAACATGGTTGCATATTTCAAGGGGAACAACAAAATGCAACAATGTTGGAAGAAAAAATCAAAGAGTTTAATAGTTAAGATCACTACATGTCAGTAAATCACTATCTTTCCAGCAGTGCTGGAGGTGGGAAGTACAGCACCTGCACTCTAAAGGAGGGGTGAGGATATTGTAGTTCACAAGGTCATCTGGACTAAGATGTCAGGACATTTCTGGCAAAACAGGGATTGAGTGTATGATGGCAAATGTGTTACCATCTTTTTGGGTCAGCCTATCTAGATGGGAGATGGCCACTGTAATAAAACTAATTACAAAAAAAATTTGTGGGCAAGGAAATGGAGAAGAAAAGCAAGATTTAACCTTGAAGAATGTAGGTAAAATTATGATGATTCGAGAACATACAGTAATAACACAACTGCGAGTAAACAGTCCAATTCTCCCTTAAATTTCCCTAAAATATATTAAAAACTGGCAAAATAAACTGATGGTGGTTTTTAAAATATCCTCAGATTGTGTGGCAAACATACATATAATTATTATAATCACAGGAAAGCACTAAAACTAAGTCAAACAACACCTGGGAAATGGATGGTAATCAGGCTTGATCCAAGGAAAAGGAGAAAAGTAGTTTCAATTATATGGCTGAAGAAGTCTTCGTCATTATCAAGGCATTCAACCCCCCCCTTTTCTCCTTGAAGAGCTAAATACACAAAAATTTACAAATCAAACCTGAAAGAGCTGAGCATTGGGCAGGAGCTGTGGTGGAGGTGTAGTGACAATGTGATTATTGGGCATATGATCCAGCCCAATATCCAACATATGCATGCACACTCCTGGCACAATCACCAGAAGGTAGTGTTCTGCAAGGCAAGAGTTTATACTCAAGAAATACTCGAACCTTCACTCTAGCTGATGTACCCAATAATTCCCACTGGCATGTGTGTGCTTTGAGATTTCATGAACGGCATTAAGTCAGTGATGAGAAAAAGCGTATCTTGTACTCTTGCTATTAAACACACTTAAAATGTACAGTTCAATATTTGTTATGATAATTTCCAGCATTTCCCTCTTTAAAATAAATGTTTAACAATAACCAAGGAAAAATACTGTTGTGTCATACCTTCATAGTTCATCAGTCCTAGTACAAAAAAACAAGAATGGAATTAAAGAATTGCAACTCTTTTTTGTATATAACTTGTATTTGTACCTATTTACAACTCTGCCAATTTCATGCTGAATTCATAATTTTTTCTCTACAAGATGTAGAAAATTTCACGTATTGAGAGCATGGTCACATATCCTAGAGCCAAGATCTGTTTTAAGGGCTAAGTCATTAAATAACTGCTCTGGACATTTGCTGAAGAATTTAAAGTCTGCTGAACTTTTACTCATGTGAAAAAGATATCACTTTCTACAGTGTAGTAAAACAGGAATAACAACAGAATGGTAAAAATACAAAAGAGTAACAAAACAAATATTTTAAGGACTGAGCTGAATGTGAGACTAAGACACACTAAGTAAAGCACTGAAAAATAAACAATAAGTATATTTTTTTTACATATGTTGTATTAGGTAAATTAAACAAAGTTGTCTAAAACTTTAGTTACTTGATATTTGGTTTAAAAATTAGAGGTTTCTAATTACATATTAAGTAAAAATCAGATCCCTGCAAATGTTGATATGAAACTTACTGATAAATAAAAATCCCCATTATTAAAAAAATTATTTTCAACATTTTATATTCAACAATTTATATGTTTACATAAAATACCAAACAGAAAGCAGGAAAACTGCTTACCACCAAAGAGAGAGTATGTGGGGAGAGCCGAGTGTGCATGTCCCCAGGGAACACCGGGGACAACGGCATGAAGAACGCATCCATGGTGGAGCAGTGTCACAGAGTATGCTAAATACACTGCACAGCTCTCAGGGTCAGCAGGGGTCTCTGCTAACCGTGACTGTAAATAACCATTAATACTGCTGATATGGGTCCATTTAACTCAAGCAACTCATGTCATAATTGATTACTTTTTTAATTTAAAGATACAGTGTATACAAATTTTTTAAAAATTTTCAAATGCAAAATTCCTAAATATTACATTATTTGCATATACTTTACAGCCACTGTATTTATAACGTCACTTCCCAATATTTTTTTAACACACCAGCCATATCCCACCGAGGCAGGGTGATCTGATAAGAAAAACAGAAATTTTATTCAATTATAAATATTGAGAAGGAAGAAAGAGGCTAGTAACCCTTCTCCTGTATAAACTTAAATATAAAAAGAAGAAAAATCTTTATGTCTCTTCTTTTTCGGGTCACCCTGTCTCGGTAGGAGACTGCTGGTGTGTTAAATGAAAAAACCCTTGAGCTAGATAATATAACTGACCTTATAAATATAGTGATGACATATGCAGACTGCACCTGTGGGGGAGGTCACAACTCGCAGGTCAAGCCAGGCATCTCCAACAGTGTGTAGTAACCCTTGATCTCGATAATCACCGCTCAAGTCGAGGGGAGAGTGCTCAAGACCAGACAGCTCCAGAGGAACATTTAACTAGGCAACAGAGGAAAAGCTTAGATCACTGTCAACATAAAGAACAAGAAACTTATTAATACACAAAAATATGCAAACAATGCAATGTCCACATATGGTACAGGCACAATATTAAGAACTTTACTTAGTGAACGCCCAGTTCAAATCACTTTCCAATTACTTTTTTTCACAAATTAAATAAAATCATAGAGAAATCAGTATGCATTATAAAGAGAACTTCACTGTTTCTTGTTAATTACCATGGAAGGGGAGGGACCAAAAAAAAAAAGAAATCGCATTCACCACCATTCATTTATTAGCTAATATCCAGATGAGCACAACCACTGTATTTCATTAATAATCCACCTAACTTCCGCATCTCCACCAGATTTTCAAAGTGTAAACACCGTACTTCTCCACCTCTAAAACCCAGCTTCTCTGAATCCCTTCATGACCATTACCTTATTCACGCTTCAACAGTTATCATAATGCAAAAGGTTAAGTTGAAATTAACATAAAGAAGGACCTGTAATATAATAATAAGAAATACAAAATTCTGTCTTGTCACTCCTATGTTTTATTGCATACACAACAAGGACCCTGCAGCATAAGCACAATTCAAATGTGACAGCTATATAAAGAACTACCTACCACTGTTTCATGAGGTTTGTGAGGATGGAACTGCAGGGCTGTGAGCATAGGTCGTGGCCGGAGGGCATCGTCCTCTGCTTCACCTGGTTCATAAGTAATGGTGTTCAGTCATATGAACACTAAGCAGATCACAGAAAAATCAAAATGTGATGAGAATATTGCAATGAGTAAATGAAAACCAACCAATGGAGTGCTCAAGATTCAATCTCATGGTCCAAGCAACCTAGGATTGCAAATCTGTCACACTAGACCCATAATGCCATGGCATGATAGTGGCTCTCTTTGCATTGTAACTCATTATTGTAACTATAGAATCTCAATGTAAACTTGCAAAGAAATAAAAATTGTATTGTATTGTATAGTGGTAAGTGTGACAGGTTGATAGTTCTAGGGCAGCCAAATCGAGGGTTCGAATCCTAATCAGTCCATTGAAAAGATATGTAATTTTTACCAACTGAAATATAGATTTCCAAAAATTATGCTAAATTTAAAATTATTACTCTAGCTGCAGAGTTTATCTTACACTGAAAATCTTTACATTTAATGCAATTACGGTCCTGAAAAAAGACAGATCTCTGATTACCTGAGAAGTGACAGGAAGATATTTTCTGTATAAATAGTAAACGTTTAAAATTTCACTTGTAAAAGGACATGCTATATTCACCTGAGCCTAGAGTTAAGCCAGCTTCAGGGGGAGGACGGTAATGTAGGTAATATAAATGGTTGTGATGAGGTTCCCACTGAGCCCACACAAATGATCGAACCACTGACTCTGTGAGTGGCTGGTCGTCAACAATCCACGACGTTCCATCCTTCAGACTCAGAGGAAAGGAGTAGATGGCAATGGCTAAAACAGAAAGATTTGAAATATCAATGAGTAAACCCTAGAGATGCTAAGAAATTCACTTTCCTATCAATCATATACAGTGGACCCCCGCATAACGGACGCCTTGCATAGCGGACAATCCGCATAGCGGACGCTTTGATCGCTAAAATTTTGCCCCGCATAGCGCCCAAAAACCCGCTCAGCGGCCTTCGTCCGAGACGCGTCCAATGTGCGGCCTGAGCCACGCTCACATGTTCCGCGGGTGGCATTGTTTACCAGCCAGCCTCCGCGGTAACATCCAAGCATACAATCGGAACATTTTGTATTATTACAGTGTTTTTGGTGATTTTTTTCTGGAAAATAAGTGACCATGGGCCCAAGAAAGCTTCTAGTGCCAACCCTACAGCAATAAGGGTGAGAATTACTATGGAGATGAAGAAAAAGATCATTGATAAGTATGAAAGTGGAGTGCGTGTCTCCGAGCTGGCCAGGTTGTATAATAAACCCCAATCAACCATCGCTACTATTGGTGGTACAGCTGCTGCTGCTGCTGTATCACCGTCAGCTGCTGCTGCACTGTCAGCTGCTGCTGCTGTACCACCGTCAGCTGCTCCTGCTGCTGTAGTACCGTCTGCTGCTGCTGTAGCATCATCTGCTGCTGCTGTAGCATCGTCTGCTGCTGCTGTAGCATCGTCTGTTGCTGCTGTAGCATCGTCTGTTGCTGCTGTACCACCGTCAGCTGCTGCTGCTGCTGTAGCATCGTCTGCTGCTGCTGTAGCATCGTCTGTTGCTGCTGTAGCATCGTCTGCTGCTGCTGCTGCTGTAGCATCGTCTGCTGCTGCTGTAACATCGTCAGCTGCTGCTGCTGCTGCTGTAGCACCGTTGTTGGTGTGGCTTATTGAGAATACCAAGAAACAATTAACCCCAGAGGATTTGCCACCCAGGATAGCCCAAAAAAGTCAGTGTCATCGAAGACTGTCTAACTTATTTCCATTGGGGTCCTTAATCTTGTCTCCCAGGATGCAACCCACACCAGTCGACTAACACCCAGGTGAACAGGGAAAATGCCTGGAACTAGTGCTCATATTGGTGAATTTAGAGCCAGCAAAGGTTGGTTTGAGAGATTTAAGAATCGTAGTGACATACACAGTGTGATAAGGCCTGTTCTGGAAGAAAATACCAAACAGGACCTACAGTACTCAGGAGGAAAAGGCACTCCCAGGACACAGTGTCTCATCAGTCATTGCTGCATCTTCAATAAAGGTAAGTGTCATTTATTCTTCATTTAGTAAAGTAGTACATGCACAATATATATTGTACATGTACTACTCTACTATTGTGCATGTATCCTTCTCTTTGTGTGTAGGAAAATGTATATTTCATGTGGTAAAATTTTTTTTTTCAAACTTTTGGGTGTCTTGCACGGATTAATTTGATTTCCATTATTTCTTATGGGGAAAATTCATTCACATAGCGAACATTTCGCATAACAGCCAGTCCTCTTGCACGGATTAAGGTCGCTATGCGGGGGTCCACTGTACTGCATATGTACATGCCTACAGTTTTCAAACAAGTCTTACAGGATATCCAATTAAAGCTCTAAAATAACACACACACTACTACTGAACAAATTCAGTGACTATTTTGATGCTATTCTAAGCTGCTTTAAGCATTTCAATCTTAAGTGCAACTAATCCAATACTTACTATCTCGCTTAGTCATTTATATTGACTCTGGATATTGAACCAACCCTTAATAAATCTCATTTCTCCTGTCCTAAGCATGAAATTTCTGTCTAATTTATCATCTGTGTGTCTTTCAGTGCTACTTACACTCCCTGTGAACAAATACAAGAAGCTTAGCAATCCAGCTGTCCTCTAAGGGCTTCCCACCTTCTTCTGTATGAAGAAATTCAAGCTGAAATACAGAAAAAATTAGTTACCTTATCCTTTACCTTAGCATGAGTTGATATATACATTTAAGCATATTTTAAATGATAAGAGCTAGTAGAAGCAAAGGATTTTTATGACTTAGCATGCTGTTGGAGTGTAAGCAAAGTAACATTTATGAAGGGATTCAGGGAAACTGGTTAGCCAGACTTGAGTCCTGGAGGTGGGAAGTACAGTGCCAACACTATGAAGGAGGGGCAGTTTTTGAAACATAGTGTTGGCATGCCTCTAACAAGACAATGATGGAGTGAGTGATGATGAAAGTGTTTCTTCTTTTTCAGGCCCCCCTGCCTCGGTGGGAAACAGCCGATGTGTTAATAATAAAAAAAAATTATGTGAAGCGCTACACCCACGAGGTTCATTCAGCACAAAATGGTTGAGGCTTGATCCTCCACCCAGTAATCAAGAGACAGACACTACTAATCTGCACTCGACTACAACACCAAAAAAGAGAAAACAAAGGTGACTTATATAGAGGCACAGTTTAAATGTACATTATATACTTCAAAAAACGTTTCAGGAACTATTAATTTGCAAAAATATATTTGCTAAATGCACAAATAAGAGATGGTAAAGATGCTAGAGTAGAATGGGGTAACAACTGAATGAGAGCAGTGTCTTAAGTAGAAGCATTTATGTAAATTTGCAAAAATACTGTATACAGTATTGGAGTATACTAGCTAGGCTAGTTTCTATGCAAGTTACTATATTATATATACAGTGAGACAACTGTAAAAATTTACACTTGTGTATTGAACCTGAACAAAAACTTATCTTATTACCAAGACTCACGAAATCGTAATGACACAACTGCAAACAAACCATACCATGGACGGAGATAGAACCCGTGTCCATGGTATGGTTTGGTTTTTTTCTTATTACCAGTTTGAAGAACAAGCATATTCCATAAACATGTAATTAACAAAATTCACCCTCTGTATATGCTTCAAAATTAATCTGCACTTTAGAGAGAAAACTTCAGATGATATTTCTGTTCATGACCCATTATCAAGTTAAAACATTTGTTACCTGATAATGGTCAAAGTTTCCTCTCTAGAGTGTGTGTGTTAGTTGTGAATTGTTCTAGCCATAATATTTTGACTTTTATTCTTTAATAAATACTTGAAGCTAAAATTCTTAAATAATAACGAGGATACCTTCCAACTGTTTCCAATATGGAGTAATGGCTTTCAGTGTTGTTAGCCTCTTAGAATAAAATAAGAAATGAGAAATATTTCACCTAACATTTGCCATACAGAGCTTTCACTATCCCTTACACTGAGCTTAGTTCCTAACCTTTCAAGTGAAGTTTCAAATTAACACCTCAGCGCAAGAGATTACTTTTTTTTTATCTTGATGACATGAAGAATGTTAATTTTCACTCAAGATCCAATACCACTGTATATGCAATTTTTTATTTTTGCTGTTACTATCCATTTTAAAAGAAAATGGTCCATAAATTACCTCCTTTAATAAGACTGGAATCAAAGTACAACACAAATTACTAATTCGATTAAAATAATAACAAGAGTATCTAACACCCAACAGGACAGAATGTGGGAAGTAGAGAGAGACTAAGGAAAAAAGTCAACGAAAAATTTAAGAAAGATAGGTAACATTTAAAATTTCAGCTACCACATCTTATTCACTTACAAGAATCTGTCGAGAGCAGTCAATGTTGAGGGAAAATACGCCCCCTTGAGGTAAAATTTCTGCCACATAGGCAGAGTATTTGTTTCCTTCCCCAGCATTGCGACGGGTCACAAAACCTGTAATGTGTTACACTGTGTCATAATTACACTTAAACAGTTGAGCAATACTGTATTTCAATATTAATTTCTCATTTTCTAATTAAAACTACAAAACACTTAAAATTAATATATGTACAAATTTAGTTTAAAAACAAAAGGAAATTCTGTACTGTACTGACTCATTAAAATGAACAATATGAAAGTAAGTTGCTCACATAACAGGTGAGATTTAAACCCATTACAAGCCAGTCCTAAACCGGCATACTGGTTGAAGAACTGGCTTGCCATGGGTTTGAATCATACTCTTCCATGAGAGAAATGAAAATATTAATGTCTGCAATAAGCACAGCAATATTATGAAGGCAATATAAATTTTTAATACATATTTTGTGTGTGCATATATGTATCTGCTTATGTACAGCCAATCACACAACAAAGGTTAGATATTAGCTTCATAATATTGCCTGTACATTTATAGGAAAAAACACACATAGATATCTGAGTTATGTACTCTGCCATCTCTTTACAAAAATAAAGTTCCTTTAGTTTAGTGATTAGAATTTCACTATCCTGACAGTCATGTATGAAGTGATAAACAGGATTTTAAAATAAAATTTACTGAAGTTTGTTGCATTACAATATACATATTTATCAGCTCACATTAACAATATTTTATGTATATACTGTATTACAGAAGACAGCATGTTAATAAATATAGATTACCTGTGATGGTAGACAGTATCAAGAATGAAACAATACTACTTACAGAACTTGATTAAAACATGAATAAATGTATAACAGTACAACACAACATTTAATAAGAGGAAAGCATGTATTGAATATATAGTAATGCCCCATTTTGTATGTGGGAAGCGCTGGAAGATGCATTTTTCACAGGCTCCAATGGTCCTAGCTTTGATTCTCACAGCCAGCTGAGAAATCAACATCACAGCTCTTGTTTTCAGTACATGAGAAATTATGTAAAATTAAATCATAATTAAGAGGAATTTGATCAAAGACAAGGAACCAGATATACAGTACATTTGTGAAGGCAAATGACAAATTTACTGCAAACGGAAGACACGATCTTTGCAATTTCTTGTTATGCCACCAATGACTTACATGTTTTATCCTTGCAACCTCCGAGGCAAACAAAAAGAAATAGCAAAATTACACGATTAGAGGCAGTATCTAGCCCAGTTTAGTAAGTACTGCAACATAATCAGAATAGCCTATTTAAGGTGTTTAAACAAAATCAAGGAGAATGGAGAGGAGAATTTTGTTATTGCTGTTGCTCTCTTCCTCACTACTGACGTATAAGACACCGTCTTCTGTAGGCTTAGATACCATCCTGTAAAACATCTTCAGGTCTGTATGACAGACTATGTTACATACAAAACGAACAATAATAGGAAAAAAAATCTACATGCTACATCAAAGATAGAATAAAACATTCAGGTGCATCATTTGTGCAAGAATATACAATGCAAAATGAACCTATCAACAGAACACAGAGCTGCAGCAACAATGGTGTGGCTGCCACACTACAACTAGGCAGAATAAATCAAGTAATTCAAACTTTTAAGGCACATACAGGCAATTCTGACTGTATACATTATATGATAATGATAATGATGATGCATTCAGGTAAAACATTACTGGAGTTGTCAACATTATTAACAAATATACAAATGCTAAAAGCAGAGCACTAGAATAAAAATAAAAACAAAACAGATAGTTACAAACATAAATATCCTTCTTGGATGCAAAATGGTGAGATTTTAATATATAAATTACATAAAAAAGCAGAGCACTAGGAAAAACGAAACAGAGCCACAAACATACATCTGCTATTTGGCTGCAAAACAGTAAGATTTACCTAGCAAAGTCCTGGAAGCATTGACAGAGGCTTGGACCACAGGCACAACCTTATCAAATGTATATAAGACCTGTGATGGAGAGAAGAGTTGCATGCTGTGTTACCAGAGTACCAAAGAGGTTACTGAGGCCCTTGTTAGTCTTCTGAATTAACCTGAATCCCACTGACGTACTAAAACTCCTGTACATTGTTAATAAGATTTTTATCTATTTGTATTATTATATTACACTGTCTCTCTGTCAGGTTTTAGATCTTGCTGCTGAAGTGGCTAAATTATCATTCAGCATATATATATATATTCTACAGACAGCAGCACTTTTAATGTAGAATGGTTTATGCGAGGGTAACTTACTGTCTCCCAGTTCTGTGGTAGTGTAAGGGAAAACTCACAAGTTACATTAAAAAATTTGATGAGCATGTTTGCATATGTTAGTGTTAAAGCACTTGCCAGCTACTTGTATTCTAATGTTTAAAATAAAATAATTGTGACCATGCAATTTTGTTATTGTAATCTTGTACTAAGTACTTCATTAAGTATTGACTAAATTTCTGAAGAATGCAATTTCAACCCTGGATAAATATACTCATGCAATAGTTTCTTTTTACCATATCAGCCATCTTCAACTAAGGTAGTGTGATCTCAGACAAGGTAACACATTTATCACTGTTTGTTCAATAGCTGTCTTGCAATATTTATTTGTGGCAAATATAGTTTTAAGACTTGAGCAACTTGATCACCTGTATACTTCCCTCCTTAACTTCAGGACATCCTTTCATCCTCACTAAGAAATTCTTCTTTCAAATACACATTGTAACTTTTTTGTATGGGGCACCAAAACAGCTTTTCTTAGCAATCACCATCAGTTTCCTCCTCCAAAATAAAGCTCAGCATGCTGAAACTCATCTGAATTGAAGATCTCTCAGTAGTAAAAATTGACTTGAATTCTTATTTTCCCATCTCATGTTTCTCATGTATTAATACTTGTACAGATCTTGCCTACATGATCTTCATCCTGCCCTCCTCTTGTTACAAGAAACAGCTGAGTATTATGGCTTATAAGTTCAAGCCTCCTTTTTTGCTAAGGAATATACATACTATATATACATATAGCTACAGCATAAGCAGATTTTCTCAAAGAAATAAAAAAATCTTATTGCCTAGGTAAAACAAAAGTGTAAATTTGTATTCTTTGTTCATGGTTGTTGGTACACCAACTATGACTTTCCTTCTTGCACATGTCTCCCTCTCCACATGCCATTCCATCAGCCACCCCTCTGCTGTCAGCTGCTGTGTGATCATGTGTGTTCAGCACTTTCCCTTGATATTAATAATCATACTACTAATAATACACAGTAGAAAAAAACCCATACCACTGGCAGGGATAGAACCTGCGGTCCAAGTGTCATAAAACTCCAGACTGACGTGGGTTCTATCCCTGCCTGTGGTATGGTTTGTTTACAATTGTGTCATTATGATTTTGTGAGTCATGAATACACAGTAGATGTAGCTTGTCTAGCTCTTACTCATGGCTTCTCATAAAGAAGGAACAACTAATATTTGCTTGGTTCTATGGAGTCTTGGTACTCTGAAAATCTGGATTATTACACAAATGACATAATAATGCATTAATTTTTTGATGCTGCCTTTCCTACTAGCGTCAGCAACGTTTTAGATCACTTGATCACTGTCACATTATGTATACTGAATTTCTAAATTACATCAGTACCATAGCCTTAATGATATAATAATTTTCCCTATAGTTTCAAACATATAGATCATACCACATTATTTTAAAAGTTAACTAAGAATAAAATGAGCGAGTTAATGGGCCCCTTTTCATACACCTCAATATATACTGTCTTAACCACAATATTAATTGCATACATATTGATAGTATATGTTAAATTATTTGATCAAATTAACTAAAATATTAATTAAATACAATCGACAATTAGTCTATTATTAATGAGACATCAAAGACTGCAAGCAACATCAAGAGAAACTATATTACCACAAGTTGTTTGAGCTAACCTGAGCAGAGTGCAGGTCTGGGGTAGCAACTGCAACCTGCGTAGCAAATGCAAGGGAGCTGGTAGCACCCTCGACTCCTGCATCACCGCCGGAGCCATCCGTGGAGCCCTGCACCAGCACCTCCTCCTCCCACCGACAAACCAACGATCCATCTTCACACTCGCCGATCCACTCAAAATTGGAATCTGAAAGACACAGGATTATTATTATTATTATTATAATCAAAAAGAAGCACTAAACCACAAGGGCTATACAGCGCGAAAGACACAGGAGTTAATGAGTTATGTAGGAGGAACTAACACGACTATTTACAAAAGTAAGAGAGAAATTTGTGAGACAATTTACACTGTTAAAGACCCACGAACAAAAAAAATGTTTAACATTTACCTGTCTAACCTAATAAGGATATTACATTTTTTACACTTATTAAACCATAAAAAAATTATATTAATCTGTAAGAGTTACTGTTGTCAATTCCTACCTTAATCAATACCGTATTTATCATATAAGAACTATTATCATGAACATATGAATAAATTAACCATATACGAAGATATTATTTTGAACATATAACAGATAAACTGAAACATTTTACTATAAAATACAACTAAAAAAAAATGTTACGGAAAAAACTGAAAAATCAGACACACAAGAACACAAAATACACCACAAGTAATACACTCATACACTGAAATACACAGACACATGGAGTATTACACCTTCCTGAGGTATTACAGAGAATACATGGTAATACTAGAGCCATACACTGGTTTTCCTCGAGGAATAATATAGGTTTGGCAGTGACAGCCACCATTGTTGCGTCGTCTGTCTGTTTACCTCGCACTGCGCAACCCGAACCTCACTTTTTATTCTTTTATTATTATTATATATTTATTTATTATTGGGTTATACTAGGTAATTAGTACTATTTATGTGTACTTGTACATCAATAAAGTTATTTATTAAGTTGTGGAGGATCTTTAGCTCAGACGCCGGTTAGGAACTCCCAAAATGCGGTAGGCGTTCCCTCTCTGGATCGCCACCGTGAGGCACTGGAGGAGAAAGTTTGGAACCCTCGGGTATCTGGTGTTTCGATAAGCATAGAAACCCTGCTCCTTGAAGAAACTCATGACATGCTTACCCATGACCCAAGGGTTTCTGATCCTATATGCACAAAACAGTTCCTCTAAGCCAAGTCCATGTACCTGTTAATCTTGTAATGTTCCCAATGATCAGCAGTACCACTCTGCTGACCTACATTCAGTGGGTTGTAGATGTCTGCCTGGTCAGATGCTGATAAACATAGTCCTGCAATAACAGTCTACTGTTCTTCCACGGATATAATGTGATCCCATCAGAGTGGTGGTTGACATATCCCGGGTGCTGGGTGGTAAATATTAAGGTTATTTCTTAGCCAGGCACAGGACTATAGCAATGTGTTTCTTGATGATGACGGTTCCTCACGGTGGCCCGTGGCTTGATAGGCAACGCTCTCGCTTCATACGCTGAGTGTCCATGGTTCGATCTCCGGAGTGGGTGGAAACATTGGGCGTATTTCCTTACACCTGTTGCCTCATTCACCTAGCAAGTAAATAGGTACTTGGGTTAGTTGACTGATATGGGTGGCATCCTGGGAGACAAGATTGAGGACCACAATAGAAATAAGAGAGACAGTCTCCTGATGATGCAATGCCTATAATAATAATAATAATAATAATAATAATAATAATAATAATAATAATAATAATAATAATATCTTAATTTACTACAAGTACATGTACAAGGTATACAGACCATAGCTGACATCAATGACATACTACTATATAGAAAGCCACTTGTTATGCAGAGCATTTTGGGCAAATTAGGTCAGTTTTGTCCCAGGATGCGACCCACACCAGTCCACTAACTCCCAGGTACCCATTTTACTAATGGGTGAACATAGACAACCAGTGTAATGAAACGCCCAATGTTTCTACCCTCGCTTAGAATCGAACGCAGACCCTCACCGTGTGAAGCAACAGCTTTAGCCACCAGGCCACGGTCCACTTTTCTTGGGTTATCCTTAGTGGATAACCCTCCGTGGTGAAAAATCCCAACAAATCTTAGCTCTTATTTTATCTGACCTCACCGTATGTAACATGCCAAACTTTGGAAGATGAACAGTTCAGACCAACTACTATGGTCAACTACCACTTTGTAACAAATACGTTGGTACCCACTGTGAATGGGGCAGCAAGGCAGAAAGCCACTGCAATATGCAGGGGCTGTGGATCAAGGCATGCAATTAGTCTAATATCCTTATTATGCACGTCACACCCATCCTGTGGGCGGTAGTCAAAAGATTACAGTGGTACATAATGGGTCCAGGGACTTGGCTCCAAAGTTTTGTTAGATAACAAGTTACATTGGTGATAAACTATTTACATGTTTATATCTGGCCATAATCATAATGAGGTATTTATACAGACATGAATTAGGTCACAAACGCACACACAGTTTTTAGCAAGCCGCTAACCAGACTGAGAGTCGAAGATCAAAATGAATTTTTTATGAGAGAGCCACAGAATTTGGTTAACACAAGCCTATCTGATGTTATCCTGACGCCAAATGACTTCGAACAGGCGATAAATGACATGCCCATGCACTCTGCCCCAGGGCCAGACTCATGGAACTCCGTGTTCATCAAGAACTGCAAGAAGCCCCTATCACGAGCTATTACCATCCTATGGAGAGGGAGCATGGACACGGGGGTCATCCCACAGTTACTAAAAACAACAGACATAGCCCCACTCCACAAAGGGGCAGTAAAGCAACAGCAAAGAACTACAGACCGATAGCACTAACATCCCATATCATAAAAATCTTTGAAAGGGTCCTAAGAAGCAAGATCACCACCCATCTAGAAACCCATCAGTTACACAACCCAGGGCAACATGGGTTTAGAACAGGTCGCTCCTGTCTGTCTCAACTATTGGATCACTACGACAAGGTCCTAGATGCACTAGAAGACAAAAAGAATGCCGATGTAATATATACAGACTTTGCAAAAGCCTTCGACAAGTGTGACCATGGCGTAATAGCGCACAAAATGCGTGCTAAAGGAATAACGGGAAAAGTCGGTCGATGGATCTATAATTTCCTCACTAACAGAACACAGAGAGTAGTCGTCAACAGAGTAAAGTCCGAGGCAGCTACGGTGAAAAGCTCTGTTCCACAAGGCACAGTACTTTCTCCCATCTTGTTCCTCATCCTCATATATGACATAGACAAGGATGTCAGCCACAGCACCGTGTTTTCCTTTGCAGATGACACCCGAATCTGCATGACAGTGTCTTCCATTGCAGACACTGCAAGGCTCCAGGCGGACATCAACCAAATCTTTCAGTGGGCTGCAGAAAACAATATGAAGTTTAACGATGAGAAATTTCAATTACTCAGATATGGCAAACACGAGGAAATTAAATCTTCATCAGAGTACAAAACAAATTCTGGCCACAAAATAGAGCGAAACACCAACGTCAAAGACCTGGGAGTGATCATGTCGGAGGATCTCACCTTCAAGGACCATAACATTGTATCAATCGCACCTGCTAGAAAAATGACAGGATGGATAATGAGAACCTTCAAAACTAGGGAGGCCAAGCCCATGATGACACTCTTCAGGTCACTTGTTCTATCTAGGCTGGAATATTGCTTCACACTAACAGCACCTTTCAAGGCAGGTGAAATTGCTGACCTAGAAAATGTACAGAGAACCTTCACGGCGCGCATAACGGAGATAAAACACCTCAATTACTGGGAGCGCTTGAGGTTCCTGAACCTGTATTCCCTGGAATGCAGGCGGGAGAGATACATGATTATATACACCTGGAAAATCCTAGAGGGACTAGTACCGAACTTGCACACGAAAATCACTCACTACGAAAGCATAAGACTTGGCAGACGATGCAACATCCCCCCAATGAAAAGCAAGGGTGTCACTAGCACGTTAAGAGACCATACAATAAGTGTCAGGGGCCCGAGACTGTTCAACTGCCTCCCAGCATACATAAGGGGGATTACCAACAGACCCCTGGCAGTCTACAAGCTGGCACTGGACAAGCACCTAAAGTCGGTTCCTGACCAGCCGGGCTGTGGCTCGTACGTTGGTTTGCGTGCAGCCAACAGTAACAGCCTGGTTGGTCAGGCTCTGATCCACCAGGAGGCCTGGTCACAGACCGGGCCGCGGGGGCGTTGACCCCCGGAACTCTCTCCAGGTAAACTCCAGGTAAACACAAAAGTGGTAATGTGTTATATACAGTGAATGAAGTCAGGGTGCATTCACCAGCCACAGATATGGGAGCTGTTAGGAGAAAGTTACCGGAGTGATGCACACTCTCAGATAAAACATAAGCTTCGGAAGGGAGTCGTACTCAACCAATAGGGTGAAGGACGTTCTACCAGAACTTGTGCGTAATTTGACAGGAGTGGATAACCCCAGCTACACTTATGGCACCAGCAAGTAGGTTACCCTTTCAGCTAAGACTTTGGATCACAAACAATTCAATTTATGTCAGTCTGTTTCTGTCTGTCTGTCTGTCTGTCTGTCTCTCTCTCTCTCTCTCTCTCTCTCTCTCTCTCTCTCTCTCTCTCTCTCTCTCTCTCTCTCTCTCTCTCTCTCTCTCTCTCTCTCTCTCTCTCTCTCTCTCTCTCTCTCTCTCTCCTCTCTCTCTCTCTCTCTCTCTCTCTCTCTCTCTCTCTCTCTCTCTCTTCTCTCTCTCTCTCTCTCTCTCTCTCTCTCTCTCTCTCTCTCTCCTCTCTCTCTCTCTCTCTCCATGGTATGAAACTCAGTGGCAAGCAGTTTAAGACAAATGTTGGGGAATGTTATTGTTACAGGTTGTGGAGCATTACGTTACACTCTCCCCTGATGATATATTGCATTTCCTTCAAAAACAGTCTACCTGGTATAGTGACGGTTGTTCACTTCTCAGTGATAGTGATAGTTGTCTACTCTTTAGTGATAGTGATATTCACTCTTTAGTGATAGTGATATTCACTCTTAAGTGATATGATATTCACTCTTTAGTGATAGTGACATTCACTCTTTAGTGATAGTGATATTCACTCTTCAGTGATAGTGATATTCACTCTTTAGTGATAGTGATATTCACTCTTTAGTGATAGTGATATTCACTCTTCAGTGATAGTGACATTCACTCTTTAGTGATAGTGATATTCACTCTTCAGTGATAGTGACATTCACTCTTTAGTGATAGTGATATTCACACTTCAGTGATAGTGATATTCACTCTTTAGTGATAGTGATATTCACACTTCAGTGATAGTGATATTCACTCTTCAGTGATAGTGACATTCACTCTTTAGTGATAGTGATATTCACTCTTCAGTGATAGTGACATTCACTCTTTAGTGATAGTGATATTCACACTTCAGTGATAGTGATATTCACACTTCAGTGATAGTGATATTCACTCTTCAGTGATAGTGATATTCACTCTTCAGTGATAGTGACATTCACTCTTTAGTGATAGTGATATTCACTCTTCAGTGATAGTGACATTCACTCTTCAGTGATAGTGATATTCACTCTTCAGTGATAGTGACATTCACTCTTCAGTGATAGTGACATTCACTCTTCAGTGATAGTGACATTCACTCTTCAGTGATAGTGACATTCACTCTACTGTGATAGTGACATTCACTCTTCAGTGATAGTGACATTCACTCTTCAGTGATAATGACATTCACTCTACTGTGATAGTGATATTCACTCTTCAGTGATAGTGACATTCACTCTTCGGTGATAGTGATATTCACTCTTCAGTGATAGTG